TAATATGCCATTCTTCTGGATTACTGTGTCCTTTTAAAGGACTTGTGAGTCTTTTTTTCCCCCTGCTCTTCTGGTAGTTGTAATGTTTAACACCCGTCAGGAGCAGGGTATAAGGCTCTTTTGACCAGTAGTTAATTGACAGGAACTGGAAGATAAGGATTTTTCTCCAGTGGGCGTTTGCCACAGGTTTGTTGGACTCTCTTGATTTGAGGAATGTTGAGGGAAGCCTTTCTTACATGTGAGCTCTCTTTTATTCCTATTTTGTAATTTTCCACTTTGCTTCAGGCATCAGGGGAACACATGGAATTTCCCGGAACTTTACACAAGTGGCAGGGACACTTCTGTTTCCTTGCCTAGTGAACCCCCGTGGCTTTTGTTTTGCAGGCATGCGATTACCCGCGAGCACACCCATACACACACACCCTCTACAACCTTGGGAATGACTGAGTGGTCTGTTGGGTCTGCATCTTTCTCAGGCACCTAGTGATGCCCCACAGTTGCCTCGAGGTCGGAGCTCTTCTCCTGGCTCCAGCTCTGGGCCTAAGTTATTTTGGTAGTTGAGTCATCCCAGCAGGGAACTGGAAGGAAGAAGGGATTAGGAGCTTCCCCTTCAGCTTTCATTGCCACACATACATACATCGTGTTAAATGAGGACACTTGCTTTTGATAGAGCCTCTCTTCCACAGTGGGATTTAGCTGAATGCAACGTATTTTGAACTGTGTTTGCTTTAGATACTATTTGAACAGCTGCTGCTGCTGCTAAGTCGCTTCAGTTGTGTCTGACTCTGTGTGACGCTGTAGACAGCAGCCCACCAGGCTCCTCTGTCCATGGGATTCTCCCGGCAAGAATACTGGAGTGGGTTGCCATTTCCTTCTCCCATTTGAACAGCAGTACTTGAAAATGAAAATGTACACTAACAGAATCAGAATGGAATCTCTAGAAGTTAGATACTGAGCAAAGGCAGAAGAAATGAGTGAACAAGGGGCCCCTAAGGACAATAGAAATTGAACTGGAAAGACAGCATTTATGGTGGATTTGGACCTGAGAAGAAGGAAGAAAGCAGGATTGTGACCAGAACAGTGTTATCGAAGGGGTTTCTTTGGGAATGGGCAGATTCAAGTATACCACATAAAATTACTTACGAAAGTAAAGTTTGTGGCGTTTTTTTGGCCACGCCACATGGCATGTGAGATGTTATTTCGCCGACCAGGAATCGAACCTATGCCCCTGCAGTGGAAGTGCAGAGTCTTAGCCACTGGACTGTTGAGGAAGTCCCTTGACTTTAAAATAATGTAATTTTAAAACCACACTGATGTTTGCTAAAATATCAGAAACCCTGTTCTTCACTGCTCTGTCTCCATCTGTGATGTGTCTGTGGTTACTGATGCGAGTGTTGAAGGCCCCTGGTCGCCGCAGTAAGCACTGACTGCTTCCTGTGTACAGCTTGTGTGCTGGGGCTATAATAGGATGTTCTTTCCCCAGCTGAGGTACGCACAAGGTGGTCATCGTTTGCATACGCCAGAAGCCAGTATTTCCTTTTACTTTATTTAATTTCCATCAAGTAGCTTCCATCAAGACTTAAATTTTCCAAATACAAAACTAGAATTTCGACTTTGCTTTTTCAGTCGTGTACACTCATTAACTCTCCGCTCCTCCACCAATTCTGATTTTTTTCCCTCCCAGGCAGGGGTAAAGGGGTGATGGGTTTCTTCCACTCCAGGGTCGGACTCACTGGATGCCTTTCTTTAGCTCATTAGGAGGTGAATAGGTTCCTAGCAAGTAATCAAATATATGGGCAGATGAAGACTTTAAACCAAGTTAAGCAATTTTTTAAAAAAGCATTAATTTGAGTAGTACAGGGTTTTTGAAGTAGGAATGTGGACCCCTGTAGGTGTTCTGAGATCCTTTTAATGGGGGTCTGCAAAATCAAAACTGTTTTGGTAATACCGTTAAGGCATTATTTGCTTCTTTCATTCTTTTCCACAAGTGTAAAGTAGAATTTTCCAGAAGTGGTGTGACATGTGATATAATAACCAATTGACTACAGGAGGACATGTGAGAATTTTGTTAAAATGTTATTTATATTAACATGCAGTAGACTTCTTCAGTTTTTTATTATGATAATGTGCACATAGTATAAAATGTATTAACTATTTTAAAATGTGTATTTCAGTCTTATTAAATACATCCATAATGTTGTGCAGCCATCACCACCATTCATCTCCTGAATTCTTCATCTTGTGAAACTGAAACTGTATCCATTAAATTCGCCATTCCGTCTTCTCTCCAGCCCCTGGCAACCAACGTTCTGCTTTCTATCTCTATGCTTTTGAATATTCTAGGAACCTCATAGGAGTATGAGGTATTTGTATTTGTCTTTTTGCTGTTGATGTTGTTTAGTCGCTAAGTTGTGTCCGACTCTTTGCTACCCCATGGACTGTAGCCCTCCAGGCTCCTCTGTCCATGGAATTTCCCAAGCAAGAATACTGGAGTGGATTGCCAATTCTTTCTCCAGGGAATCTTCCTGATCCAGGGATCGAACACACATCTCCTGCGGCTCCTGCATTGCAGGATTCTTTACTGCTGAGCCAGCGAGGAAGCCCAAATATTGATAGATACAATCTGTATTTGGTTCAGCATAATCTTTAAGAATATAAAAGGGACCAAAAAGTGCAAGAACTGCTGACAAAGAATTTTTCAATCTGTGTTCTGAGGGACACATGGTAGGAACACAGCCTTGTCGGTTTGGGGTGAGATCATTTGTTGTTCTGGACCTCAGGTGTAAAGTTGGGTTAATTATGTATGTTCCCTAGTTCATGGTACAGACTCTATTCGCTTATGTCCCCTTCTGTCCCCTGTCGCCACCCCACCCCCCCTTCTTGCTGTCTGTAGTCCCTATTTTGGATATCCATTGTTGTTCAGTCACTAAGTCATGTCTAACTCTTTGGGATCCCGTGGACTTGAGCTTGCCAGGCTTCCATGTCCTTCGCTGTCACCCGGATTTTGCTCAACTCGTGTCTATAGAGTCGGTGATGCCATCTAACCATTTCATCCTCTGCCACCCCCTTCTCGTCCTGCCCTCAGTCTTTGCCAGTATGAGGTTCTTTTTGAGTGAGTCAGCTCTTTGCATCAGGTGGGCAAAGTATTGGAGCTTCTTCATCAGTTGTTCCAATGAATATTCAGGGTTGATTTCCTGTAGGAGTGACTGGTTTGATCTCTTTGCTGTTCAAGGAACTCTCAAGAGTCTTCTCCAGCACCATAGTTCGAAAGCACCAGTTCTTTGGCGCTTAGCCTTCTTTATGTTCCAATTCTCATATCCCTACATGACTACTGGAAAAACCACAGTTTTGACTATATGGACTTTTGTTGGTAAAGTGATGTCTCTACTTTTTAAAATACTGTCTAGGTTTGTCATTGCTTTTTTTCCAAGGAGCAAGCGTCTTTTAGATTCATGACTGCAGTCACCATCCACAATGATTTTAGAGCCCAGGAAAAGAAAATCTGTCACTGTTTCCACTTTTCCCATCTGTTTGCAATGAAGTGATGCCATGATCTTAGCTTTTCGAATATTGAGTTTTAAGCCAGATTTTTCATTCTCCTCTTTCATCTTCATCAGGAGGCACTTCTTCGCTTTCTGCCATTAGAATGGTATCATCTGCATTTCTGAGGTTGTTGATAATTTCTGACAGTCTTGATTCCAGCTTGTGATTGAGCCATCCCAGCATTTTGCATGGTGTACTCTGCATATAAGTTAAATAAGCATGGTGACAGTATATAGGCTGGACATAATCCTTTCCCAAATTTGAACCAGTTTATTGGTCCATGTTCCATTCTGTTGCCTCTTGACTTGCATACAGGTTCCTCAGGAGGCAGGTAAGGTGGTCTGGTTTTCCCATCTCTTTAAGAATTTTCCAGTTTGTTGTGATCCACAGTCAAAGGCTTTGGTGTAGTCAGTAAAGCAGAAGTAGACGTTTTTCTGGAACTGTCTTGTTTTTTCTGTGAGCCAACGGATGTTGGCAATTTAATCTCTGGTTCCTCTGCCTTTTCTAAATCCACCTTGAACGTCTGAAAGTTCTTGTTTCACATACTGTTGAAGCCTCACTTGGACAATTTTGAGCATTACTTTGCTAGCATGTGAGATGAGTGCAGTTGTGTGGCAGTTTGAACATTCTTTGCATTGCCTTTCTTTTGGATTGGAATGAAAACTGACCTTTTCCAGTCCCATGGCCACACTGCTGAGTTTTCCAAATGTGCTGGCATATTGAGTGCAGCACTTTAATGGTATCATTTTTTAGGGTTTGAAATAGCTCAGCTGGATTTCGATTTGGATCGCAAATTAGATAAAAATGATGAATAATATTTTCATTATATAATCTCTCCCCTTGTGGCGTGGTTTCTGGGAGTTTTTTTCCCCCTTGTCTGTTTAAGTGTAAAATGTTGTACCCATATTTGTATGAAGCCCCTCTTGTCAATTATAAAATATTTATAAAATGTTAAATAATTGTAACTAGTTGAGTTTTAAGTTTTTAAGGTTTGTTTAAGTGCTTGTTTTTCAACAGTGTCTCTTGTTGTCTGGGTGTTCACAAAACTGTTACCAGTGTCTGGGTGTTCACAAAACTGTTACCAGTTAATCTGTGATTACCAAATTCTTGGGCTTCCCTGATTGCTCAGTTGGTAAAGAATCTGCCTGCAACGCAGGTTGGATTCTTGGGTCAGGAAGATCCGCTGGAGAAGGGATAGGGTACCCACTCCAGTGTTCTTGGACTTCCCTTCTGGCTCAGCTGGTAGAGAATTTGCCTGCAATGCAGGAGACCTGGGCTTGATCCCTGGGTTGGGAAGATCACCTGGAGAAGGGAAAGGCTGCCCACTCCAGTATTCTGGCCTGGAGAATTCCATGGACTCTGTAGTCCATGTGGTCTCACAGAGTTGGACATGAATGAGTGACTTTCACACCAAATTATTAAAATCCATAAATATTTATTAATTTATTTTTTTCTAGGTTGCAATAAAAATAATTGACAAAACTCAGTTGAATCCAACAAGCCTACAAAAGGTAAGATTGGTCCAGCAGCCGGTATTTTTTTAAAAAATTATTTTCAGTGCTAATTGCCATCTAATTTGTCCATTAATTACCTGTACTGTAATTTTTATTGTGTTTAGTACACAGTAAAGCTTCCTCTTCCTCAGATGAATACTACTTAAATGTAATATTGTTTAAATGCAGTATTGTTCGATTTTTTCCTTCCTTTCCAGTTGAAGATAATGATTTTTAAAATGTACTTAATAGCACAAACTGAAGGCGGTACTTTCAAATTGAATATTCTAAATATTGACTAGAATAGAATTATAAAAAGACAGAAAAACGTATTTTCATGTAATTAGTCTTATGCAGAGTTATACATCTTTTACAGCTGTGATCTTTTTTCAAGTCAGCACTTTTAACTTTATTAAGCTATCACTATATGTCTACTTAAGGAGTGATGATTAATTCATATGAAAGGAAAAAAGTAAAACTGAACTGATAGTTGAAAACGTGTTTGTAATACACTGCTGCCATTTGTATTATCTGGTGTGGCTCAGAGGTTCTCCACGTGCTGCATGTTAAAATCACCTGGGCCTCTTTTCAAGGTCCTCATGGCCCTTGGGAAGATGTCCTTGCTCAGGCTGGGCCTGGTCATAGGTATTTCACTGGTGCGTCAGTGAGTGATGAGCACTCTTCATAAAAACATCCTTCTAGTCCCTTGTAGTTTTGCAAAGCCTTTTTGCATTCTTCATTAGATTTCTAGACTTGGCCTGTGGTAGCTGGAAGGTACGGAGACCTAGAAATAAGAACAGGAAGTCCTCTGCCACTTAACTGAGTGTCTCACTTGACCTTGAGCTAGTCACTTAACTTTCTGACATTGGGTTTCTCATCTTTAAAAACAGAGATAATTTCACTAAGTAAAGTAAGTCAGACAAAGACTAGTACCATATGATCTCACTTATATGTGGAATCTAAAAAACAAAACAGACAAAACAGAAACAGACTTACAGAGAGCAAAACTGTTGGTTGCCAGAGGGGAATTGAGTGAAATAGGTAAGGAAGACTTAAGTGGTAAAAACTTCTAGTTATGAAGTAAACAAGTCATGGGGATATAACGTATAGCTTAAGGAACGAAGTCAATAATGTGATGATAATTTTATATGGTGACAGGTGGTTATTGGACTTACCATGGTGATCATTTCATAATGTATTTGATTGTCAGGTCACTATGTTATATACCTGAAGCAAACATAATATTGTATGTCAACTAAACTTCAATTGAAAATAATAAAAAATAATTAACTGGAGATTAAATCTTTTCATGATGGATTATATCCATGAAATAACACATATAAAAGAGTTTTGTATACTGCAAAGCAATGTGTAAGGTATTTTAAGTATAATGCCTTTTGTACATTTCTAATGTAGTTCCAATGGTTATTTTCCATTTACATCATGATTTTGAAATCCTATCCTTGAGGGGTGGGGTAGAGGTTGAGGTGGGAAGTGAGGTAGATTTTATCTTGCACTGAAAATGTTATTTAAACAAGTGGTTCTGCAGGACATAATGGGCTTTAAGGATTTTCAGGGTGGCCCTGAAAGGATCCAGAAATTCTAGTCCTTTGTTCTGAAGATGAAATTATATCCCTTTCCTTAAACTTTCATTTCTTCATGTACCTAGGGACTTGGTGCTAATTATTAGGTAAGGGGTTATAAAAACTTGGTGTTCAGAACTAAAATTAGTATGTAAAGAGGTTTGCTGAGGATTGTAATGATGTTGCAAATCTTCCATTGTTCAAGTGTACTTGTAAATAACTGAAATTCTAGCATTTTTCTAGGAAGAATTTTATCATAGTATTGAGTTGATTGCAATTTTTGTTTCATGCTTGATTGCTTTTTTCATTATTTTTGGTCATAGTTTTTAATTGCCACTATTCTTTTTTATTATTACAAATTACAGTTTGTCTTATCACTATCAATTCAGTACATGATAGGTTGTCTGGCTAGCTTGATAGTGAGATTATGCAGATTTGTTCAGCATTAATTTTGGCACATAAACAATAGGTATGACTTTTAAGATTTGTTTGGTATGGTACAAGTATGAACCAGCCACAGAAGATTTATACTAAAGGAAGATCCATCGAAGTTAAATAATCTGAAAGGTGTAATGTTTTCAGTTTTAGGACATTGTTTTAAACTGTAAATCATGTGTTCATATTCTTTTCTTATAAATTAAAAGCATCCTATAAATATTTCCTTCAGAATTCTTTTTCACTGAGTTCGTTTTCCATGGAAGAGTGGCAGCAGGGTGGTATAGCATCTTACGCTCCTGGAACAGTACTTCTTGCTTCTGATTTTCTTCCTCAGCGTCAGTTACAGGTGTTACCACACCTGCATCAGCAACAGAGCCCTTATATTGTGATCTTAAACTCTGGAGCTTGGTGTACAGCTTTAGGAGCTAACATTTACATTAAGGCGCATTCTGTCAACAGTATGCAATCTTTTTGTACTGCCACTGCCAAAGTATGTGGACTGGTTCTTTCAGGCAGTGTTTGAACACCACTGGTAAGATAGTCAGTGTAAAAGTGTTATCAGTGTCCTGGCTCACACATAGATCATGTCTGATAAATGCAGATAAGCAAACCTGAGGTGATTGTGTATTTGTAAACTGACATTATTTTCAGTGACAAGTTCCTCATTTCTCCTTTTAATTTTTCTAGCCACAATGTTAGATTCTAGTAAGATATATCTTTCTCCATGGTTTTTTTTGGTACTACTTAATTTCTAAGTAACTATCGCTGAGACATTTTTCTGTTTATAAATGTCTTTTAGGTCAGCCTTTAAAGAAATGTGTAACAAAAAAAGAAAAAGGAAAGAAATGTGTAACGTTGTGTACCTATAATGCTGTCGAGAACAGCAGGAGTTTTGAAGATGGTAATCTCCTCCCTGGCCTTATAAAGTCTCTCTCAGCTCTGATGTGGCTACACGCGAACGGCCCTGCAGCCTTGCGTTGCTTCGTGTGTCATGAAGACGCAGGTTTTGGCTTTGTTAAGACATGCAGTGCGCCAAGTGTGACCCACCCGAAGTTATTTTCTTTCCTAGTCTTGGAGTAGTACTAACATAAAGAGAGGGAGAATAGAGTCATGGGTGGGAAAATGGTGAAGCCAGGCTACATGGATTCAAGTTTAGGCTTCAGCCTAGCCTAACTCTGTGACATGTCGCCTCCCTGGATCTTCATTTCCCTGTTTTTAAAATGGAAATAACAACATTATCTCTAGGGCTCTGGTGAGAATTAAATAAGGTAACATTTAAAAGCCCTTAGAAGAGCTGAGTGTAGTTCCTGGCATATGCTAAGGACTGAGTGTTATTATTGTGTATCCTGCTGAATGTTGATTTTGAGGGAGAGTAGAAGATTTTCTTTGGTTTTTTATTTTTGGAGTGTAGTTGATTTACAATGTTATTTTAGTTGCAGTGTACAGCAGAGTGAATCAGTTATGCATATATATGTATCTATTTTCTCTCTCTCTTTTTTTAATTCTTTTCCCAGAGATATTTCTGTTTGTTCCTTTAACTTTACCCTCACAGGAAGTAAGTAAAGCTTAAGAATTGAATTGTGGGTTCTGACTTGGGTCTCATAGGACCTATTTGCTGTAGACTACTTCTGATAATGGCTTAAATTTGCATGTTTAGTATAAAGTACTGTAGTAGTTTGCTCAAGGTGCTATAATAAAATACTGTAGACTGGGTGGCTTTATTTCACAAATTGTGTTTATTTCACACAGTTCTAGAGGCTGGAAAGTCCAAAATCAGGGTTCCTGGTATGGTCGGGTTCTGGTGAGAGCTTTCTTTTTGGATTGCAGAGAGCTGCCATCTCACTGTGTCTTCACAACAAAGTGGGGGGAAGGTGTGTGAGCACGTGTGCATGCTCTCTGATGTCTCTGCTTAAAAGGGCACTAATCCCATCATAAGGAAACACCCTCATGACCTCATCTAAACCGACTTAATTCCTGGATGCCCCATCTCCACATATCACATTGTGCAACAGTTTCATGAGGTAAGCTCTGTTACTCAGGAGAGAGAGGCCAGGAGGTAAAGTAACCTGCCCAGAGTCCCCTAACTGATAGATGTGTGAGCAGTCGTTTCATGATGGGTGTAGTCAGTGTGGAGTTGAACTCTTAGTGAACTCTTAGTGAAAGCATGTTTAGCTCAGTTTAGATGACAAGAGCACTTGCTGTAAGCAGTGTCCTCGTGTCCCTCATTGGATAGGATTTCACTGCCGTTAGATGCTGGAGTGTGTGCCTCCTGTGTCTCCACCTACAGAGGCCTTTCACACTCACGAGCCGGATGGACCTCTTCTCCTCTGCATACTCTGCTCGGCGAGTGTCGCTAGCATCTTGACTTTGCACTGAGGAGACAAACCGAACAGTTAATATAGTCACGCTCTCCAGTTCGTAGGTGATGGAGCAAAGATGTGAATCTTAGTCCAACTCCAGAGCATGGACCCATTGCATTTACTTACGCTACCCTTCTGTGACTAAATTTCCCTCATTGAGGTGGGAACTAACCTGAGACTTTTCTCTGTAGTGGTGGTGAAGAAGTTAGTTAATAATTTCAAATTTGAAGAAATATTCCAAGTACGTGAGAAAAGAAAGCCTTGTTCCCCACTTCCCCTTCTGAACTTTGCATAACTCGTGTCTTAATGCAAATTTGTTTATTCACTGTTTCACTTAACAAGCACTTCTAGTAAATACCTGCTGTGTGCCAGGCACTGTTCTAAGTACTGAGGATAAACATGGAACCAAATGAAGTTCTGGCTTTCATGGAATTGACATCATAATATGGGAGTAGCAGTAAGCAGATACATGGTGTAATGTCATGTCAGTCATGTAATGTCATGTCAGTGCCATAAAGAAAAACAGAGCAAGATATATTGACTGTATTTTCCTATTTTTTGTATTCTTGATGCTCTGGCTGGTCCGGGAGAGAGTACTCCCAGAATTCGCCAGCTCCTGGAAATAGAAAACTGCTCC